GCCTCAGGCTCCGGGCGCGCCTCGACCGCGCGAGCCACCGCTCTGCCACTGCGGGCTCGGGAGCATCCTTCCCCGGGAACCCGCTCCTCTGGCGGCTCTGGCTGTCGCAGAGCGCCCGCGCCCGCCCGGGAGCTCGCGGCCTATACTCACCCGTTGGGGATACTGTTCTTCTTCACCATGACGCGAGAGGTGAGGGGCTCCCACGACCCAGGCAACCCCGCTCTCAGGCCTCTTCCAGAACAGACCCTGGGACAGCTGCGGCCAGTAGGGAACACACCCCGCCGTGGGTCGTCAAAGCCACTGGCTCTCGCCAGGCGCTACAGAGACCAGGGCAGGAGTGACAGGCTCGCGCTCCTCAGTTCGAGCCACCAACCCAGACAGCGGGGGAGAAAACGTAGCGCACCGAAGATTCCCGAAAGCGCGCGCTCTCTGCGCGCTCGGGACCCTGCGGGCTGAGAGCCGCGTGCGCATGCTCCTGGACCGCCTTGACGTCAATCTCGGAGGAGCCCGCGCGAGACGGGCGGGGGGCGTAGGGTGCGCACGTCAGGAGCGGTACGGGCGGTTGGTGACTTCTCAGAGTGTGCGGTGCGTGGTGCGTCCTGCCTTCGCTGCCCACACAGCCGAAGCGCGCTGTCGTCCATCTAGGTGAATGTCGTATTGCATATTAAAGCCCCCCTGACCCGTCCCTGTCAGACACTCCAGTATCTTTTCTGGTTGGTGGACAAACCGGCGCAGGACCCCGGTACACGGACCGCTGGGACTTGTAGTCCCCAGGGCCTAGCCCATGCATTAGTCATCCCTTTTTGGGGTGGATAGGGCTGGGAACCACTCCACTTTACAGCATTGGAAAGCAGTGTTTGATTTGCATCATATCCAAAAGCACATTATTAATTGAGTGTTCATTGTGTGCTGAACACTTTGCTGGGGTTGGTGGAGGGTAAATAGTTTATGACTCAGCTCTCTTCCTCACTTCAGGGTAAGAAGAACTATGAACTTGTGGGGTGGGATGTAATGAACAAAAATTACACATTGTAAGTGCTAGTGGAGATCAGAGAAAGGCCAGAGTCGGAAAAACTTCCGGAATGATGTGGGGTTTGAATTGGGCTTCGGAAACAGGAATGCTCTAGATTAGTGGGATGTTGCAAAAATCAAAGGATTGATACATTTGGAAAGATTTCCAAAAAGAGCTGAGGGAAAACTAAAGGAAAAACAAATTTGTTAGTTCATGATTAACCAAACAAATATTACCAGTTCCCAGAATATGTTTTACAACCATTCCATACATTAGAGGTTTTTTTATTCTTTACACTCCTGAAACCAGATGACATGTGAAAGAAGTAATCAAGGTGATTGAATGTTGAATGTTAAATTTACATGCAAAGTAAAATGATGTCATTTCAGGAATCACCACAGTGATAAAGGCACTGCTGGATAAATTTGCAGAACCCAGAGATCTCTAAACACTAAGTAAGAGGCAAACATTTATGTTCATAAAGTTGCCTTCCTTTTGCTAGGGATCAGAAAATGATGAATTGAACTACTTGACTTAAGTTTCAGGCTTTGACTATGGAACTCCAGGGTATCTGATACAAAAATAGCTAATCCTGAATTTCCTTATCCTTTAGAAAAATCTTTAGCTGCAAGAATTGTAAATTAGCAATATCCTCGAAGAGAAGATTGGGTTTAACTCTTAGATCCAGTTTTCTAACACAGAAAGTTGAATTGCTTCAAGAAGGTAAAAGTCTGAGTCATAATTTTTCCTTAGTTTTGCATGAGATTTTTAATAGAGCAAATGTAGCTTTCAGCCAAATCTTCAGTTTTACCTAATATTTTGTCTATAATCATTTATTTATCTTATATCATTTATGGAATGATAAATGAACAAAGTTAGAAACTTCTGTGCATCTGCAAAAAACACCTGATTAAAAATTTCTTTTATGATAAGGTTTTTATTTGACAACTTACAATAATTCACTATGGGATGTGCCATTGCTAATGTTTTCCCTAGTTTAGCAGATAAAATTTGCAGATGTAGGCACCAGTAGGCCGAATTTTGATTTGAATCAAGGTATTGTTTTAGAAGTTCTTGCAGAATGGTAAGTAAATTCAAAATTCTCTTTTCCCAGAATACTATTCCTATTATGTCTCATCTTGGAGTAGGTAAATACTCATTAAATCAATCTCTTAAATGCCTTTTTTCTTTCTTTAATTGAGGTACATAAAATAAAATGCACAAGTCTTAGTGTACAGCTCCATGAAATTTAACAGGTGTATACACTCATGTAACCATGACCCAGATCAAGATATCAAACATTCTCATTTTTTTAATGATTAAATTTAAAGAATTTAACTTAGACCTCATTCTTCTGTTCTAGTCAGTATTTTTAATAACCTTCTGGACCTCTCACCTGAATGTGCTGAATTCATCCATAATTAACATCTGAAAACTGAACTCGTTGATTCCTACCCTACCTACCTTCCTACTCTAATACTTAGAATGATGCTACCTCTCCGTTACTCAAGCCCAAAATCTGGGAGTCCTTGATTCTTCCCTTACTTTATCCTGCACATCTAAGAGCTCACCACATTCTGTGACTTCCAACCTTTAAGAGAATCTTTCTTCACATTCCATTCCCACTTCAATTTTTTTATTTAAATCTCCAGCGTCTCTCATAGGGATGGATTATTATGGCCTTTTATCCAATCTCCCTGACTCAAGGGAGAATTTCTGTGTTTAATCAGACTTTTTTTTCAGTTTCCTTATAGTTTGGGGGAAGTACCCACGTAGTTTCATTGAAGTTACTCCTAAGTATTCTGAAAATGTTTTGAATTGCTATTATGAAAGTGGTCCTTTTCTATTAGCATAATATAGGGAAGCTATTAACTTTGACATATATACTCTTGTACTGTGCCACTTAAAAAGTCTAAACTTTTTGATTGTTTTGAGTTTTCTACATATAAAAACCTATCCTCCACAATGATAATTTTTTCTTTTCCTTTCTAAAAGTTATACCTCTAACTTCTTTTACATGTCTTATTACATTAACCAGAATATGTTAATGCAGATGATCAACTACTAAATACTAAAGGTGGTAATGTATTTATTTTAATTTTTAGTTAAGTTAAGGAATTTAAATAGCATACCTTTATTTCAAGCATCACAAGTTGTTTTCTTTCAGTAATATATCATTCTTAAGAATATTTCCTCTTCATTTAGAAAGTGAAAGTGAAAGAACCATCATGAGAAAGAGCCCAAAGAGAAAAGAGATTAAAAAAGTAAGGTATTAGTGAAGTTTATAAGGATTTTTGTTATACTAAATATCCCAATTATTAATGTAGGATAATCTTAAAAAGTGATGTGTTTGGTTCTATACAAACAAATTTAAACAAATTTAGCTCTATGTACAAATCATTAAAAAGATAATAAGATAGTTTAGGGATCAGAGGTACTCTTTGGTCTGTCAGTTATGTAATAAAGAACATTAGAGGTGAGTTATTTATGTATTTAGTTATTTGTTTACTGTTACTTAAATATTAATTAATTTATTCTCTTAGCCAGCCAGCAGTGCATTCCCTGCTTTGCTCAAAAAAGTTTTTCTTTTTTTAGTCAGTGAGTAAATCACGTATAGGACCCATATCTACATGTCTCATAAAATAGCTTCAATTAAGATTCATAGTTTATCTCTGCCTTCTAGATGGGAATGGGAAGTCATAAAAAAGTATCCAGAATCCTGGGAATGCTGAGTAAGATTTTAGGGAATTAAAGGGAAGCTCTATCAATTGCCAGGGATGATGTTCCATCATACCTTCAAGGATTGCTGTCCCTTGGTTAAGGGTAGAACTAGGTATTTTTAAGTGTTGAGAAAGATACTGAAGGTATAATAAGAACAGAATATCTTACTTTATAGTGACCTTATTAAGTAGTTTTTAAGTGTGTACAGGAACCCCTGGTGAATTTTGAAGTTCTTTCAGAAAATCTGTGGCCTAGGCTTTCATTGTGTTAATGTCTTTACTATCATCATGTCAATACCCCGATTTGGCTCTTGACACAAATCCACGTTTTTACAGTGATTGGGAAACTGATGTATGTCTGCATGCTCCTTCCACTCCAACATTAATTTGGACATTAGTTAATGCACATTAGTTTGGTTAGCATGTGCATAGCTGTCATTTAAGAAGTCTTTTACCATTCTTAAATTTAAATGAAAAACAAACTCATAATCCATATTGTTCTAAAAAAGGATTTAACATTGGTAACATGGTTTAATTTTAGGATATTGAGGTTTAAAAAAGTTGTAAAAGAAACAAATGTTCATTTTAACATACTGAATTTTTGATAATGGTAGGATATTCAATTAGAAATACCAATAAACAGCTAGAAACAATATTCAGAAAAGTAGTCAAGGTTGGAGACAGATTTGGGTCTGGGAATACATGCACTCTCCAAAGCCCTGGAATGTGTCTACATTTAAGCTATGAGAAGTGTAATCACTGAACAATATAGGGAATAAGGGGCCAAAGAGTTAGAAGGATAGAGTACATACAGAAAGTTTTCAGAAAATAGAGGTACCCAACATTATCAGATGCTACTGAGTAAATAACAGATAACAATAATATAGTGTTGAGTTTCAAAGTATTTTCATATGTCTGATCTCATTTGACCATCCTAAATTAAGACATATGAAGAAGGCAATATATGAACACTAAGAACTAACCATTGGACTTTATAATTAAAAGGTCCTTTTTGATATTACAGAGAGCAATTTCTTAATTTAAAAATTCAGCACATATAAAGAACTCATACCAATTGATAAAAAGATGAAATTTAAGAAAACAGGCAAAGGATATTAATTGACATTTTAAAGAAGGTGATACTCAAAGGGTGATGAACATATGAAAAGATGGTCAATGCCAAAACACAAAGACACAAGGTAACCCTCCCCTTCTTTTTTGCAGATGTCAGAAGAGACAGATAACATTGCAGTAGAAGAAAATGTAGACAAGCATCTCCAGAAAGGTTCTTAGTAATATAACACAACTCCAATACTGTTTGTTTTTATTTTTGAAAGATTTAAATGACTTAATCATATCCTAGGTTTCAGTTGGGGACACACATCTTTTAAGGAATGCATTCAAGCAGAAACTAAAGTTGCTAGATAATACATGATGGACATAAGGAAATACATAGTAAAATTAATGCATGTAATAAAACTAAGTTTTGTTTTCTCTCTCTCACTGTAAACTTGGAGAATCCACTAGTGCTTGAGACTGTGTTAGACTGTGAAGATACATAGATACAGAAGCTGCTTCAGGAAACTCTAGATCTTGTGGAGAAAAAAATACACAAATAATGGTTGAACCCTGGTTCATTCATCAAGCAAATATTTACTGAGCACCTGCTATGTACCATCTGCCATTCTAAGTTCTGGGAATAGAGTACAAATAAACCAACTAGTAATTTTAAAGTCATACCAAGGAATATTGCAGTTAAGAATGAAGATTCTTATGACCTGTAGTGATTTAGCTTTATACTTCCCCTTTGTTGCCACCATCCTCTGTGCAACCATTAAGTACTCAAAGGCAGGGAGAAGAAAAAATTTACACAGCAAAACGATCTCCATTTTCTGCTGTACCACAACCCCTGCCTTTCTCAATCCATCTGGTGGGTCATCTGGTGGATGAGCAGAAAATGACACATGGCTTGGAGTGCACATAACAGCTGTGGTCTTTATTATTTCTCGTGTGACTGTTTCATTTCCTCTAAGAGCTGGCAGAAGTCAGGGTTGGTAGTATATTGATTTTACAGAACTGACATAGATAGTTAAAATGGGTACCTAGAGATTCTCTTCCTTTCCAGTTTAATCAAGTCGAAGTAATCTAGCTTTGATATTTGTGTAGAGTAGTATACATAGAATATGACTGTGCTCATGGACTTTTTTTTTCCTAAAAGGAAAAAGATAAAGGTTTGCTTATCTGAGGTTTTTTTTTGGCAGGGGTTTCCTAAGAAGAATTCTAGCCAATAGGTGAGAATATAGAGAGTAGGGAAAGAAATCACAAAAAGAAAATGAAATTCAGTCCTGACCGTGCATGGAAGTGTTTATTCCTGAGAGCAAATGGGGAAGGAAACATCCATTGGTCTTAGGTTCTAAGCTCTCAGGGGTAATGACTCAGTCTTCGTAAATGTCATGATCCTTAGAAATGGATGCAGTTTAGCTATTTAATAAGGATTTTGTTGCTATTGCTATTTAATTAGAAGAAATATGACTCCATTTTATGTTGGCTTCTTGGTTTAGATGTAGAAGAAAATCAAAACATATTAGAAACACTGAGAGGCAAAGTAAGAGAAAAGCTAAAAAATCCTAAGGTAATACTTATTTTTTTATTTACTGTTTTTAAATTTACTGTTCAAATGCAATATGTAACATAATAAACCTTACTTTGTCAAAAAAGAGCCAATTTCAGCCTTAATAGCTACTTAAATCCAAAAAGTTTCAAGTTATTTTCCATGCTTTTTTTCAAACCTAAAGCCAAGAAAAATTAAGTGATTTGGTCATAGTAACTATATATGACATCTCAGAGGAAAACATGTATATATTTTAAAAAGAAAAACATTGAGAAGTCTTGATTTTTATGCAGTTTTGAAAAGACTTATGAGCACAATTATGTCTATATGTGTAAAGATTAAGTCTTTTATACCATTTGTTTATTTTGTATTTCAGATTAATCAAGGTGAAAAATCTTCAACTCACCTACTCACTGATGATAAGATATATCAGTGGTCTAAGGTGAGTAACTTTTTAGAGCCGCTTTATTCAGGCATCTTTACACAGCAAATATTCACCCACCCTAAGTGTATGATTCCCTGATTTTTAGTAAACTTAAACATAACTATGCAATCAATACTATAATCCAATTTTAGACCATTTTTGACACCACAGAAAAATCCCTTATGCCAATTTTTAGTTACTCCCTATTCCCACTTGATTTTTTTATCCTAAAAATTATAATAAAATATTGTTGGTGATCCCCAACTTAAGAGATATTGTTTTGCAATTCAGTGTGTAATCACATACTTAAAACCTGAAATGACAAAACAACGCATATTTGGGAACTGTATTACTTAGAGTAAAGGCTAAACAGCTTTAACAGGAAGATTTAAAGTGAAATATCTTAAGATAGTTTTATTTTTATTTGGTGTAACAGATAAGTAGTAATCTAGGCTGCTAGGAGAGTTCTACTTTCTTCAACACATGGCTTCCTTCTCAGAGTCCAGTGGCAAAGCTCCAGTGTCTTTGTTTGCTAGCCAAAGGACGAGAGAAGGAAAGAGCCAGAGGATTGCAGATTAATCTCTTAAAGGGCAAGACCTGCAAGTTGCATACATTATTTCCTCTTAAAGGGATGTGGGGGAAATGTCTAGGTATCCAGCTGAAAGGAAAATCTATTATTAGAGATGGGAGTAAAGACAGTAATGAACAACTAGTCATTTCTGCCATAAAAAATGAAAGTATTTAACCCTAAAAATTTTAAATGCAAGGATTTTTTTTTTAACTTTGTCTTCTCCACAGTGCCTCTTAGGTGCTTAGTAAAAGTAACTTTAATTACATTTAAAAGTTAAAATCAGACTAAAAAAGGATGTGTACATGTTGTTCATTCAACAAATTAATAAAAGTTTGCCTAAATTGGGTTTAGCTATGAATAGTAAAAACTTGGAAGTTTGTCAAGGTCAGTCCATCTGGTGTCAACAAAAGAGGTAAAAAGTAAGAGAAATTGACTTCTAAGAACATATCAATTATTAGACAGGGATATCTGCTCAGGTAGTTGAAGATAGCAAGTGGTTTTGTGATGAGCTGAGACGAAGGAAAGTAAAATATAGTGACAATTTATATATGCAGCATCATTGCAAGGTGAATAACTTTTAAACTTAACATGACAGCTAAAATGTAGATGCAAACGATATAAGAGAGCCTTTGTATTTTACATATTTTTTAATTCTTTGGTTTCTAAACTATGAGTTATATTTTTTTTGTAGAATTCATTCATTTCCCAAACCAGTTATTTTATTATGTATGAGAAAAAAGTGATGTCATTTATATTAAAAGATTCAGACTTCACAGTGTTGAAAAAATAGAGCTTATTAATAAGCAAGTTCATAACTAAGAATATGCCAATCAATACTTTTAACTACTTCTAACCACAAAAGATTGTAGGTGACTACCCGAAAACAGAGAAAAACAAGAATTTGTCCTGAGCCCACATTTTGATCAAGCTGTAAGGTAAAGAAAGCTCTAATACTGTGACTAGAGTGAAGAGATAGTTTGGGAAGATGGAGAAGACTTGGACTCTATTCTATTCTGTTTTTTATTGTAGTTACTAGACTCTTAAAAAAAACAAATTCATGAACTAAACAGAGTAAAAGTTAAATATAATGATATCTCTTCTGCTGCTTCTTGCTCATGAATAAGGTGACAGTTACTGTTTCCTATATTATGGAAAAGTATTGATTATACTTAGAAGCAGAAAAAGCATTTGTTTCAATTCTTGTTACCTTCCCATTGTTTAACCCACAGACTAAAGTCTCTTTGGATGAAGGTCTTTCATTTTTCATTCTTAATGGTGAAGAAGGCTCAGCTTTGGGGAAGTCTTCAGTGCAGGTTGGATTTGTCCTCTTCCTCATTCTCATTCTCAGGAAAAATAACTCTTTATTAGAGGCATAGAATGAAATTCTTGGATGGGAGATGAAATGTTAATTATTGAGCCACCTTATTCTCTTTGAATTGAGCAGTTTTCACAATAATAATTCCTAACATTAATTGATTGCTTACTGGAAGCCCAATGATATACTAAATTTTTTTTGTATTATTAATATATAATCACATGAGCAGCATTGCGGTTACTAGATTCCCCCTATTATCACATCCCTACCACATACT